TTTGGAGATTTAGTTCTGTGTTTCCTGCTGATGCAAAAACCTTTCTTACTGCTTGGGATGAGTTGAAATCAAATTCTTCTATTTGGACTTTCATTCCTGGGGCTATTATTTGGACCATTTGGAAGGCCAGAAATTTTATTGTCTTTGAAGGGGGAAAGCTTGATCAGTTAGAGTTATTTTTCTTATCACGAGTTAGGCTGGCTTCTTGGTTTCTAGCTAAGCACAAGGACGTTTCTATTCATAAGGATTCCTTGATTATGGATCCTTCATTAGCAAATTCCTACTCGCCCTACAGTTCTATGAAGTCTTCTTCATTCCCTTGGGTACCTCCCCTTTCTGGTTTTTTTTAAATTGAATGTGGTCGCAGCCGTTAGTAGTGACAGGAATAAATCGGGTATAGGAGGTATTTGGAGGGATCATTCAGGTTCAGTCCTAGGTTCTTTTCAAGAGTCAGCTGGTCTGGGACCTCCGACTATGATCAAACTTAAAGCTATTCAGAGGGGTATTTCATTATATGCTTATGCTCAAGGGAGGGTTAAAGATAGGCTGATTGTTGAGAGTGATAGCAAGGTTGCAGTAGACTGGATCAACAATGTCAATTCATGCCCAATTGTTTATGCATTCGTTGTTAGTGATATAGTTGACAATCTTAGATTTGGGGGGGGGGTTATAAGTTGGGTTGCAAGGTCAGCTAATATAGACGTCGATGCTTTAGCAAAGGCTGGAATAGGCTAATTTTTATGTTGTTTGTTGTTTCAGTTTAGCATTTGATTCCTGTTCGGGTGGGATTTATAGACTATTGTAAGGGTTATTTCGAAGAGATCTATCGAGGTTGTAATCTTATTTTCTTTACTGAAAATCTAAGGCGCTCTTTTCCTCCTTCCAATGATTAAGGAGCTTCTTTTCAAGCTCCATTAATCAAGAATGAGGTTTTTAATAAGGCCTTCTAATCTTATCAAAAAAAAGAAAACACTAATTGGTATCCGAAAAATAGATAGGAAGTAAATGGGGAGAGAACACAAAACGAATTTAACCAAAACAACCCTTCCAGCCAACGATAGGGTGTTAGCCTTCCAACCAGCCAATGTACTGTAGAATTTATGCACAACAGGCTCCCACAAGGCAAAAGAGTTTCTCTTGACTCCCAATGGTAGCCCAAGGTATCCCGAAGGAAAAGAACCCATTGAACATCCAATCTCCTTAGCCCATGAATCTAGGACCTCATCCTCAACATTAATTCCAAATATTCTGCCTTTTTGTAAAATTCAGCTTCAATCCCACCAATATCTCAAAAATGAACAGCACCCTCCTAACATTCAACAAATCGCGAATTGTTGCTTTGCTGAAAATTATAAGATCGTCTGCGAATTGTAAATGTGATAGCATGAATGATCGATCTAGAGTACCTAGCTCGAAACCCGAAAACAACCCCTTGTCCGCTGCTTTTACCAACAGTAAATGCAGCAACTCCCCCCCCCCCAATTAAACAACATCGAAGATAGTGAACAGTCCTGCCTTAGACCTCTTGAAGGCTGAATTTTCTCTGTAGGATTTTCGTTTACTAAAATAAAAATAGAAGCAGTTGACACACATTTAAGTATCCATGAGCACCATCTAGCTCCAAATCCCATTTTACCCATTATTTTCATCAAAATCTCCCAATTCACCGAGTCATAAGCTCTTTTAAAGTCCACTTTAAATACCGCCCCCTTCAATCATTTCTTCCTCCAAAAGTCAATACCTTCATTTGCAATAAAGGAGCAATCCATAATGTGTCTCCCCGGGATGAATGCAAATTGAGACAGACTTATAACTTCAATAATACATGAACTCAACATTCTAGCTAGAACCTTTGAAAGAATTTTATAAAACCCTATAACAAGGCTAATTGGCCTAAAATCAACAAGTCCCTCCGGATTGACCTTCTTTCGAATAAGAGAAATGAAAGAGTGATTAATCTCCATATCCCAATCCTTCCCCTCATAAAACTCCCTAAAAAACAGCAGCAACACCTCCTTCAAACTTGACCAGAATTTCTTAAAAAAGACTAAATTTAGGCCATCAGGACCAGGCGCTTTGTTACAATCCGAATTGGCAATTACTTCCCATATTTCCTCTTTAGAAAATGGCTTTTCAAGAGCCAAACTTTGCTCATTCGAAAGATTAAGAAATTCCATATCCAAATCGTCAACCTCCAGAGTATTTCCCTGCTGAAACAAAGCCTTAAAAAAATCCACCACTGAGGCTTTTATCCTGCTAGGATCCGAAATGACTTCATTCTCCACTTTAAGGGACTTTATAAGGTTCCTCCTACCTCTACCTCTAGCACATAGATGAAAAAATATTGTGTTCTTATCCCCTTCCAAACTCCACTTCACTCTTGACTTTTGTAACCAAATCGATTTTTCAATTTTATAGAGATCCCACAATTGTTTTTTCGCCTCCAATAGTTGTTGCATGGACACCATAGGAGAGCCTTGTTGCATATCAATTTCTAACTTCTGAATTTCTTTTTCCAAGCAACTAATTTTTCTAGGAAGCTCTAAATAACCCTTATTAGACCATTTCTTCACAGCTTTCTCCACCCCTTTTAACACAGTGGAAATTGGTAAGTTATTTTCTACTCTACACAACTTAAACAGTTCATTTTCCATCATCTCCCCAAACCCATCATCCTCCATAACATAGTTGAACAGTTTGAATGGTTTAGGACCCCAATTGCAGCCCCTATTTTCTAGCAAAATCATGTTGTGATCCGAAACAAACCTAGGAATAAGACTTTGGCTTATCATTGGGAAAAAAGATAAAAAGTTATGATCCACAAGAAAACATTCCAATCTCACATAGGTTGGAACATCTCTATTGCTACACCATGTAAATCTACCTCCAGCCAAAGGTAAATCTACCAAATTAGCATTGCTCACAAAGTGTAAAAACATTCATTGTACCCAAATTCACTTCACCACCAGCCTTCTCGTCCTGTGATAGAACGGCATTAAAATCCCCTCCAAGGCACACTGGGCAGCCTGCATTTTCCAAAAAAGAAAGCAACTCCCGAAAAAACAACTCTTTTTCAGACTCCACACTCGGTCTATACACATTAATAAACCAACAAGGCACGGAGAACTCTTCAATAATTCCCCTTATTGCCAGAAATCTCTTATGAATGACATGTTCCTTGACTTCACATTCATTTTCACTCCACAACGTAATTAAGCCTCCAGCAGTTCCTTCAGCTGCAGAAACTGCCGAACCCGTCAAGAAATTCCCTCCCATTTTCCTCAATAAGGAAGGGCTCCCTAACTCCAATTTCGATTCTTGAATAAATAAAATTGTGGGCTTCTTATCAACAACGAACCTCTTTACTGCTCTAGCTTTAACTCTGCTACCTAGACCCCTAACATTCCAAGACAACACTTTCCAATTTGACATCAATATCAATCGAGAACCTTACAACCAATACCCCTTAACTACTCCCATTTACTACTCTTTCCTTAACCAATTTAGTTGCTCTATCCATAAAAGCTTGCTTTCCCCCTCTAAAGTTCACCCCTAGTAGTTTGCTTACATTTCAGCACTCAAGTGCCTCTGCCCCCCCTGTCGTCTCCATTGGATTAACATGATCTGATCTTGTCCCCTCACAGCTCTTAGCTCCTCCCCTTTTTGATCTGGAATAGACACGCTTACATAAACCTCTCCCTGCTTTACTTCCAGCCTCACTCTTCCCAGACATTCTTTGTTGAGACATCATTGCAGGCCCACATTGCAGAGGAGCCCGAAACTGCTCCTCAATATTATCTGTTATTGGAATTTTGCAGCCCATGTTTATTCTTCCATTTTCTTGATCCAGTCCATTCAACAAATGTTTTCCCAGGCCTTCCTGAAGCCCAATATCCTAGTCAACTTTGTCATGCCCATAAGAAACATCCCCATACTTTTCCCAACTTCTCTCCCTTCAATAAAACCTTTTGACTTTTCATGCTGGATGGAGACATCGCCTGCAGCTTCCACTCCTATACACGTGATTTTCCAATCATTGATTTGCTAAACATAACTCGTATGCAATTGCTTGTATTTTATCTCTGTATTAAGTGGCGTTAATCGAATTTCTATATTTGCAATTATTTTCTATTTTTATCTTGCACATGCAGCTGAGACAACGTTATTCAAATATATTTTCATTCATAATCACTCTGCTTACTCTCTCAACCAATGTTGAGAAATCATGTGTTTTATTTTTAATGGAAGTTGTACATAGCGATTCTTATTGAGAAAGTTGAGCAATGCTCGACTTGTGTTTGTTAAAAAAATTTATTGTTTGACTGTTGCTTGTTAAGCTTGATAACAATTTGCTCGATTGTTAGAAAAAATTGTTCAACTCGTTAAGTTCATTAGAATTTTCACTTTGTTTTTTTAACTATATATAATATAAAGTAAATCAATCATTATTAATTAATAATTTACTATTTTTATTGTTGTTTTTTAGAAAATTAAATAAATCAGTGGTACTTAGTAATTTAGTGTCTTTCTTATTATTTAGTAAATTAGTATTTATTAATTAGATTTTTTCCAAATGAAATAATTTTTAAGGTAGCTACTAACAAACATCAATTTATCGAGTCGATTTGCATCTTGTTTGACTTAATTAGTGATTCTCCTTGAAATTTGGTATTTTTAGATGGAGGATAATATTGTGAGTTGTAAATTTATGCAAGTAAAATTCATTTTCATTATTCTGAGTACCACAGCTTGTTTCATAATCTTGTAATTGGGTTTCTTTGCAGGAATATGTTGTAAACCGAAAGAAGATTTACAAGTGATTATTGCTCCATTGTTTGGGATAATCTTGTTGCATGGAAAACCAAAATACACATTTTCTAACTATTGTCTCAAGAATTTTCCAATAAAAGTGACACTCAATGAGTATTTTGATTATTTGTTTCAAATTTCAACAGTGTGTATCTAGTTTTCTATGTTTTTCTTATACATATCCATTGGACATGAGCCATCATCGTAGATGATGTTCATCTCCATTCTTTTTCTATATGCAATAGTGTTTTGGAGTTTACAAAGAATTTTGATAAGCTTGCAACAAATATGCATACAAAATCTCATTCCACGTATCAGGTACTCCCGGTAAGCACCAATGGATGCAATCAGCAAAATTCATTGGGTCAGCTCTTTGTTCCTTTGTCAAGAGCTTGCCTCTTCGTTCTCCGAAAACCGTCGTATGAGCATCTTTCCTATATTCTGATAACTGGGTAATGTTCAAAAACGTGACATTGATTTTAAGGTCTTGTAAAACTTCATGCATTATCTCCATGATATCTAGGTTAGACCCTGTGCCCCAGTATGAACCTTCAACGGGATATGACTCATTGAAGCAGTTCCCATGGCTGCCCGGCTTCCATTCCCAACTCCTACAAAAGTAAATTTCACAACAAATTATTACCTTTTTTTTCCTTTATCGAGTGAAAGATTAGTGCATCAGAGACTCACCACAAGTGTGTTGGGGACATACTCATGAAGAAGACCTTTTGCAGATGAGGATTAATGGCGGATTCTAACCAGTCTGCCCAAGTTTCCATTGCTAATCTGTAAGCAGTGGTGACATTGTATTCTTGAACATCCTCCATGGACCCGTAGCTGAAACCAATAGCCATGATTTCGATTTCGGAATCGTATTGTTACAGTCTAGTATACAATATTCATATATAAATCTTACAAGGTACCGACTACTTACGTAGCATTGATCTGAGGCTTGTACATCCACCATACGTAGCTCTCGAATACCAGCACATCCACTCCCTCCCAGCTCTTGCCATGTTTAGATATGGAGTCAAGGTTCACCAGCCGTTTAAGTACAGTATGATTTGTTGCATGATCTGAGATAGATTCTACAATGAACGGAGCCCAATAGTACTCAATTGTTGCATTGTACTCCTAAATCCAAATCAAATCAGCTAAACTAAGTTTATCATATAAAAGAAAACAATGCAAAACCTCACACTGCAATCATGAGTTCATTATGATCAATGGAAATGCAGGTCGAGTACCTTAGCTTTGAAGATCTTCCTAGGAGGAACTCTTTCTAAAGATTTCTTCCCTTTGGGAATCACAGATTGTAACAGACACACCATTGATTCAAACTGTGCTCTTTGAACTGAATCTCCTATAAACATCAATCTTTTGTCCCTCAAAATGTCCAATAGCTTCAACGGATCAAACCTGGAAGATCACCAACACATTATATACTATATGTATATGTATATGCATATGCATATGTATACCTAGGTAGATTGCATGCATGAGGCTGCCATCTCCAGTTCTGGTAAATAGAATCAGGTCTGCCATTTTTTAGACAAGTCGTTTGTTTAACCAAGTAAGGGCAGCTATCTTCTTCATAAAGAGGATAGGAGGCATTGTCCCAAACCCATTGCCCTTCAAAAAGATTGCAACTTTCATCCATCCGATCTTCTGGTAATACAAAAACTGATTTTCTTGGCTTCTCTGGATTGCCGTAGAACTGAAAAACATAGCTTTTGCTGCTTTTCAAGCCATCAAAGACCAACTGTGCTGTTCCTAAAACAAGAAGGGAAGCCAATAAAACAGGAAACAGAGATTGGATCCTCACTGCAGATTGTGTCTTCATTGAGCTCGTGAGGATTAGAAGTTTTCTTTTCTTTTAGTTCATCCTGTGTTACAGTTTTTTCTATGTATTTGAAGATTTATCTTCAAACTTAAGCATCATAAAAAAAATAAAACACCCATGCAACTACCAGCTGTTACCAACAAATTTAGATAGCAAGTTAAAGGTTTTCAGTGTAGTACCTGAAAGAAGTTTGTCATCATAGATGAAACTGGCTTACTAAAAATTCAGTTTAGACCAGTTTTTAAAGAAAAACAATTAGGGTAAACTATGTATTTAGTCACCTACCTATTTGTGTGGTTCCGTTTTGGTTACTCAACTATTTTATTTTTCAAAATCATACCTAAAGTTATTTTTTGATTTCATTCTGTTCACTCATCATTAAAAAATTAATGGAATTACTGATGTGGTTTTTTCCCCAATGATTATGTAACATTATCTTACGGTGGTACGTCAATATCACTTGTAGATGCTTAATTTGTCTGGGTAGTTTAGAAACCAGAAAAAAAGAGAGGTAGTGGGGAAATAACTACAAAAAACGTGGGACATTTAACCACTAAAAAACTGTAAATGGTCAGTTTTGAGGGGGGGAGAGAACAAAAAGAGGAAAATGAACCGAGAGAAAGGGAGGAGGAGAAAAAAAAAAAGAAAAACGGCTCCCATTTCGGTTTTGGAGAGAACAGAACAACAAATTTGTAAAACATTGAAAGTTTGAAGCAATCAAAGACTCATCAAGGGTATTCTCCATTTCTCATCTTCATGTTTTTCTCTGCGTTTTTACTTCTGTTATGTGTATGCATGTGTATTCCAAATAGGTAAGGCATAAGAATAGAAAGGGGTTTAGATATTTACCTGGGTTGTGTGGAATCGGTGGGATCATCGGGTATTCTGACCCTCACATGCTCGATCCAGGGCCCGATTTGAGTGCTAGAATATAACTTAGAGTCCTTGTTGGCTTTGGTTCAGTGGTTCCCTCAGTTGCTTTGGAAGTCAATCGAAGTCATAGAGCGTAGGTGTTGAGTTTTAGGTGAGGGGATTTGTTTTGTCGTTGGTTTGGGAAAGTAGTCGAGGATTTAACGGCCACCGATCTGTGGTGGCCGGCGTAGAGCGAGCCTTTAGGGCTCTCGGTCGAGCGCCGTTCGGTGAGGAAGAAAGGGATGGTTGGGAGTGAGAGAGAACGGTGAGGGATCTGTTGGGTTTAGATATTAGGGTTTTGTTTTTTAGGTTAGATTTTATTAGAGTATTAGCTAAAACGCCGTCGTTTCAATCGATACTTTCCTAGTTTCTATTTCTGACCCAGTATTAGGCGCGCATTCCATTTCAGTCCCCAAAATCAGGCATTTCGAGATTTGTTGTTATTTTAATATGGTCTCTTAATTTTAAAAGTCTTATATCTTAGCCCAGAATCATGTTAGAGCCATTTTCGTACTGTTTTTACCTTGGTTGTGTAATTTACGGAACTTTTATTTTGGTCCTTAAACGAATCTTTTGCACCTTATTAATTTTGTCTTCATATTTATGAGTGCTTTTCATTTTAATCCTGAAATGTTTTTATGTTTATTTTTGAAATGTAATTTGTAATTTTGGTTGTTTGACCATTTAGTCACTTAGCATGTTTTTTTTATTTAATAGTTAATTTCTATTTTGCATGCTTAGTTTAATTTTATTTTATTCTGGTCCTTTATGGTAATTTTGAATATGAAATCGAGTTACTAATAGTATTTTTATTGTATATATTTGTTTTATTATAATGTATGCCAATGTCGTTGTATTCATGTATATACCATATCACCATACTTTATTTTAGACTTAGGTGTTCATTTGAATATAGGATACTATTTAATTAGTTTTTACCTGATATTATTTTGCATAATATGCATGGTAGCCTCACGTGCATCACTCGACCGTATTCATAATTGGACTAAGGGTAATATCCTCTCAGTTTAAAATTATCGAAGTGGGCAGTCATAACTGATTTGAGGTCCGCTTTTAATAATTTTAAAATGAAAGTATATCTCGAAAGTGAAACAAAAATTGACTCGTCACCTAAAATTTGGGAACGAGAGAAAAAGAAATGTTCGTTTATTTAAATTTATCGAGAAAAGGTTGTTATAACTTTTAAGATCTGGTCTCGACATTTGTAAATAATCGAACATTCTTTATCTTTCTAAAATGACTTGGTAATTTTAATTTAATTTGTTTGAGTGTTTTTGAATATTTTAAATTTACATTTTTGTTTTATGGGATCAAAAATTAAAATAAATTCGAATTTGTAAAGTTCATTGCAAAGACGTTAATTAATCGACTAGGTACCGATTTAGGGCGTTGTGGGGGTGCTAATCCTTCCCCACACGTAACCGACTCCCGAACTCGGATTTTGGTAACGCAGACCTCAATTTGTTGTTTTAATTAAAATTAATTTTTATTTAAAATGACAAAGCATTTTTGGGTGCCCAATCACACCCTAATCAAAGATTGGTGGCGACTCTTTGAACCGTTATTTTTATCATAAAGGAAATCCAAAAATTTTCGAAACGAGAGGTTTTTAAATCACATTTGTTTTTAAATTAAAAATCAATTGAAAAAGGTAAAGAAAAAATAATGTGGTTTTCAAATTCTCACCTCTTTTCACCCATTTAAGAAAAAATCGTTTCGACAGCTTGGCGACTCCGCTGGGGACTTTTTTTAGAGAGTCAAGCCGATAGTCGATTAATTAATTGTCTTTGCAATTGAAAATTACAAATTCGTTTTAATTTGATTTTTGATCCCTTGTTTGGTTTTTAATAAGTTTTGTTTGTATTTTGATTTCTTTAATTTAATTTGATTGACAATTAAATAGTTGTACTGATCTGTTTGTTAATGATTTCAGATTAATTGTGTGAATTTAGGAAATTTTTGAGTGTTTTTATTGGTTGTTTCTTTTTTTTCCGCTTTTCCTCACACACTGCACAGCTGCATTGTCATAACATGAGCTAAAACCCCGCTCCGTCCTATTTAAGTAGGAGTGAGAGACTATGCCCTCGTGTGGTTTTCACCTCCGCATGGGATAGTGAATCGCTCCTGGAGCTCACGCCTTATGGTCCTCGTGATGGTAATCACCTCCGCATGGACATAAGGAGGTGTGTTCCCTCGAAATTGAACTCGATCCCCTAAAGCCTGTGATGGGCCAGGATTGAGGGTTCGGCAGCCCAATGGGGCACCGGCAAGGACAATTCGAGAACCTATTACTTTAGAACTTAACCCAGCATATAGTGAACGTAGAGCCTGAACTTAGGTTGAACCAAACCCGAGCCTTAAGAATCCCGTGAGGAGGGTACACAAGGAAAAGCTTTTCTGAGTCATTTATTTTCGTTTTTCCGAATAAATGCATGCGAACTAGATATCATGCGGTTAGGTTTATTTTTTGAATAAGCATGCGAATTAGATATCATGAGGTTAGGATTTCTTTTTGTGGATAACAAAGCATGGGGGTAGATATCATGTTGGGTAGGATCTGATAAAGCATGATGGGGTAGTCAACATATGTGGGTAGGATTTTTGAACAAATTATTATCTTGAATTAATTGCTTCATATTTACTAACTGATCTTTTGTTGTTTTTGCCTTGTTTCTTTTCTGTTTTGCATTGCATTGTCCATTACATGGTGTTGATTTGGGGTCGATGTCCATATAGAAGGCCAGTAATATGGAACGAACGGTTCAGAAAGAGGTTGAGGACAATGCAGATGTTCTGAGGTGGTCAGAACAGTCCCAATTGACCAATGGAGACAGCGTGATGCCTGGATATGTGTCAGAGTTATTTGGTTACACTCACATCAACGTACGTCAGAATGATCCGAGTGAGCTAAGAGAGATATGGGGAAGATGGGAAGCAGTCGATAAAGAGATGTTTTATCAGTTGTACGGTGATATTCCCTATCTTCTGGATGTTCCTATTGACCGAAATCTGTTTAGAGCATTGGCGCAGTTCTGGAATCCAGCTTATAGCTGTTTCACATTTGGTAGAGTAGACCTGACACCAACAATAGAGGAGTATCAAGCATTGGTCCGTTGTCCGAGGTCCCAGATAGATAGAATATATACCAAGCTGACAGTCACTCCTTCATTTAAGAAGAAATTGCTATTGATGACCGGAATGAGTGAAGATTGGGTAGTCAGAAACATTAAGAAGAAAGGAGACATCGAGTGCATTTCTTGGGCTGCTCTGAAAGAAGTAATTGCTCATCATCCTGATAAGAGAAAGAAGTTCGACTTGTTTGCTTTAGGGATTTATGGGCTCGTTATTTTTCCAAAAGTGTTAGGATATGTAGACGTATCAGTTGTTGACCTGTTTGAAAGATTAGACAAGCGCGTGGATCCTGTTCCAGCTATTCTAGCTGAGACGTTCCGGTCTTTGAGTTCTTGTAGGCGCGAGGGAGAAGGACGCTTTATAGGATGTGCGCCTTTGCTGCTAGTGTGGATTCTGAGTCATTTCAAACATGTTGAAAGAGCACCAGGACGAGTATTTCTAGACGGTTTTTCACCTTTGAAGGATTTTCTTGCTAAAGAGTGGCCTGGGGGTTTTACTGAAGAAAAATGGATGGTCATCTTCAAGGATATCAGAGATGGAGATATTTTGTGGCGAGCTTCGTGGAATACCTCTTCGGATATACTTTATCGATGTGGAGAGCGAGATTGGGTTCCTTTGCCAGGTATATGGGGTTCTGTTGGGTATGCACCGCTACTAGTTTCCAGACAGTATGGATCGAGGCAGTTCATCCCAGCCACGTGGGACTTGGTAGGATCGGATTTTGCATTCAAAGGAGATCAGTATAAGGTTAAAGTTAAATGGGTTGCTGAGGCTTGGAAGCAAACTCGTCGTGTGAATCTGTTCACTTATGATCTCGAGTTATCTCAAGAGTACGAGCAGTGGAGAAGCGGTCGAGTAAATGACAATATCCCGATGGTGAATCCTGAAAATATTCAGCCAGTGGAGGAACAGTTGAGAGTGGTGCCATCTCCATTAGAGTTAGCCAAGCGCGATTTCGAAGCAGAACGAAGACAATG